GACTCATTATAGCATTCTGTCCCATCCAGCTCCACTTACATTTAAAAATACTACATTCCAGTATTAACATTTTAAATCTCTCAGACTCCCAAATCATAGGATTTATCTGATTTTCTTTAAAGAAAACTTGTGCTTCAGAAGAAAGTTTATTAAATGTCTTGAATTTCTGAAAAGGATTATAATTATGCCATAAGAGATTTGAATTCCAGCCCTCCCCGTTCCATTAATCTTGAAAGTTAATTTCTGGTAGTGATGAAAGCTGAGGATGGGCTCAGTGCGTTAGTTAGCACACTAGTTTTCTTGTCAAACTGCTAACTTCTGACAATGATGGCAAGCGCTTGTATTAGAAAACAGAAAGCCATGCAGCAGACGGCGCACTGCTTTGAAAGCATATGGCATTATTTTTTTCCCTCATTGAGCCACAGTGTAGAAGTACATGTCAAAACAACATCTATTTTAGAAAGAAAATGGTTAGATCCCATTGTTGATTTACACTCTCTTCACACTTTATGATGAAGTCAAAACTCATGGTATCAAGATAAAGGAGCTGACTGCAAAGGCTGAATTCATTTAGTTTTAATCCCCAAAACAAATGATGAAAAGTGATGAGAAGTGAGAAAATGCAGACATATTCAGTGAGATTAAAACAGGAGAGAATGAAGTCCAATATTTACCAAATGTGCCTGGAAAAGCTACATCCATGGGCCCACTCAGCTTTTCCTTTAAGGAAACACAGGTTTGTCCAATGGATGAGTTTAGATAGCAAAACAGCTTTTACATCTGATTTTCAGACTAACGCAGATGAGATACAGAGCAACTCTCAGGATTCCCATCTGCCAAGCACCACACCAATTTGCCTTTTGAGGACACATTTTGGTATATGATTCCCTGGTCATTCTAGTACTGCAGCACCAGTTTGTGAACAGGATGGTGTGCCCACTGGTTTCCGCAAGGAATAGGGTAGGAGGACTAAAAACCAGTTGTGTCTTTTTGAGGCAAAAACGCACTTTTTGATGAGCAACGATAGCAAAATGGGATGGAAGACTTAACGAATGGGATTTGGGGTAAATAAGCTAAATGCTCAGTGCAATTTATGTCCTGAAAAGCATACATTCGAAGACAAAATAGGTACATTCCCAGAAACTTTTCTGGGCCATGCTCATTTTCTTTTCCTTAGCATCTAACCCAGCAATTCATTTGGCCCTCCTCTGTAAATGTCTTGCAGTTTCTGCTTGAACCTAAGAACCAGCTGCCCTTTATTCCCAAGCAACCTCCAAGATGCTTCACTTGTGACTGTATGATAGTACTTTTCACTTGGGATGGGATAACACGTCAAAAACTCCATTACTTTCTTTCAGAGGGACTTGGATTAGACCATTACAGAGAGCCTGTGAAGCTCTCAAAGCAGTCTACAGGCAGTTGAGGAATCCAACAGGTACCCCATGGAGTTAAATAACAGCATTCTCATTCTACAGCTCAGACAAAAAAGAAGCAAAGGAAAAGTAATTCAGTGTCTCAAAAAAGTTCATTCAGTGTCAGCAGAAAAACTGCAGAGGGACCTCTACTTTTTTGGCAGTGTTGCGTATTACCATTGCATGGGATTTTGCAGTAACCTGGGGGCCACAGAGGCACACCACCCTTGTCAGAAATCAAGTCTGAACTAGCTGTTGGATAACAAAACCTTTGCCACAGAGGCGAATATGCTACGGCCAGCTCCTGCCCTCAGGCATGGTACCACTCCCACACCACCCCTTCAGGGTTGCTGCTCTAGCAGTCCTCCTGCTTGGCTTCATCCCAGCTGTGTGCCTTTTCTGAGGTCAGAGATAGATGTGTAAGAAATTAATGCAAGGGTTTTTTTAATGCAACTTTTGTTTTTAGTGCAGTTCTTTCCTCCTTACCTTTATCTTTTTCTTGCTGGAATCCATGATCATTTTCCAATCTGATCCATTGTTGCTGTAGCCAATTTTAAATTTTTTCATGAATACTTTGTTTTCTCTGTGCTTGCCTCCTTGGACAATTATGCCCCTCACTTTTTTTTCTTCACCAAGGTCAATTTGAAGCCATTCGTTTGTATACGGATGAGTAGTTGGTGGCAGCGCCCAACCTGACCGGCTTGTTATGAGGCGAGCATTTTCCGGGATCCAGTTTCGATCAACTTGAGTAGATGCAGTAATCTGAGAGTCAGGAATGAGCCCAGACACCATACCCAGCATCCCAGAGCAAGGATAATCTACAGAGGAAAAACCAAATAGTTAATCTGAACAAGCACCAAAACAGAAACAGGACATATCAGTCAGTCAACTGTCATAAGCAATTACTTATTTCTTTCTTATATCCAAAATCTTTCTGGATTTGTATATAATTTTCATTTGTTCAAACTTGCACATCCTAGTTTTGGCAGGAAGTACCAAAATACCACAAGTATTTCTGGCTTGATGGGAATGAAAAGGATCAGAAAATCCTATTCTATTCTTGTTTTCTATTCTTCTTGCTAAGGCAAAGAGTGCAGGGTCACGTCCGAATTTGTGAATATTTCTCTAGAGAAAACTTCCAAAATCAGCCAAAACCTGGTTGCAGATTACTTAATTTTGGTAATACTGGAAATGGAAACCTTTTATACATTCTGTAAAATATAATTTATTGCTGTACTTGAGATTTTCCTATTGTATTTCTTTGGTCTTTCAGGCTTTTTCGAATGACACAGAAGTTAAATAGTTGCTTCTTTTATGGTCCCAGGTAAATATAAATTAAAAGTAGGAAAAGCTGCTAACAAGAAATGAAGATTTCCAATATAGAATGTAACAGCAGTTCCGCTGATATTACCTTTGAAATATCTAATTGAAAAGATTTCATAGAATGACCTGGAATTCTATAACATAATAATCAGTGATCTCATTTTCCTGCTGTATGGAAACCAGTCCTAAGAAAAATTTTCAAGACTAAAGAAACACCTTAAGGGAAAAAAAAATATCCCTAGAACTATTAAAAATTAGTGCCAATGAACTGTATTAAGTGCTATAAAATGACACCAGATATTTTTTAGAAAAATCAGCTTTGTAAAAAATATTAAATCATAAACATTTTCTTTAATCTATAACTTGTTGTATTTTTACTTTACATATAAAAACGCCTCCACTTTGTAGGAGTTATAGAAATCCTAAGTCTAGAAAAAAAGGACTTCTAAAAAAATTCCTGCTTGTGCTTGTTTTTTTTTTTAAGATAGTATTTTGATGATAATGAATGCCTTTTGCTGTTATTTCAGAAAGCACTTTGGACAATTATTTTCATAGTTAACTGTGTGATATGAAGGAGTTACATTCCAATACTGATCACTAGTGGGAACCTGACTATATATGTCCAGTTGCTTGAATAGGCTTCAGATCTAAGTGTTTGTATCTTGCAATGCTCTTAAACCTAGTTATGTATATTTATTCCTTGGGAAACCTGCTGAGAACTACCTACAAATAGAAGGCATGAGGGAGAGGGACTCAAGGGCTAGGAAGGAAAAACAAGATGGGAATTTGCAAAATATTTCTGTATCTCAGGTATTTTGCATGGACCTGTAAAATAATTGCAAGAAAAGTAATGAAACCTTTTTTTTTTTCACTTCTTAAAGCTGAACACCTGAAAGATAATGCCAGAACAACATTCAGATAACACTGGATGTTTGGGTTGTTGTGTTTTATTTTCTTTATGGTTTTTTTTCACATTTCTACATTCAGTGAACGTAGACTGCTGTAGACCACAGTGGAAATAGTGAAGATGCATTTCACTCATAAAAATAAAACCCACAGCATAGGCAAAATAAATTCCCTTGGTTTTAAAATCCTTCCCAAGACCTACCTGTTATCTTGCAGCCATAAACTTCAAATCTCAGTGATACTCCATTTTCCCAAGACACAGGTCTAATTCGCACAAACCGTGTTAAAACTGGTTTGGCAAAAGGTCTGTAAACAACCTCAGTGGGATTGCTATTCCCTTGAAACACCTTTGTGTGGAAAGAAAAAGTATATATTTGTTAGGCTTTCTCTTACATGGTGTTTATAATTCTGTGTTTTACAGATAGTTACGATACAAGGTCTAACCAGGGTTATTTTGGTGGGGGGGGATGAGACAGAAGACTTGCATGGGGAACTATTTCATTAAACTCCTAACACAATTTTTGCAGACAGAAAAACTTTCCTCGGGGAGGAAAAAAGAAGACGTAAGGTGTTCAATGACACTAAAAAATACTTGCCACCTGCAGAGTCCCATAACACACCATAACGCTGCAGAGCAGACCAGGAGAGCTCAGGGTCATCTTGAGAGCGGGAGCTCACCTGAGTGCAGCAAGGGTCTGTCCACTCCCTGCCTATTTTGAGTGTTCCTAATGCCCAGATCTATATGCAGGAATGACGTACACTGGTCTTTGTCACCCAAGGACTGCCGTGTCCTGGAAGAATCCCTCAATGCCCCACTAAGGCAGTTTTACTCTTCGTATACTCGTAGAATGATGTAAAAAGCTACAGAACCTCACGCCCGAATTAAAGGTTTGGATTTCAATTAGACCACATAAAAATCCTACACGGAGTTAGGATAAAAACATATATTATTTTGCCATCCTTGGGCTTCAGAGTTTCGCAGAGTGTATCATGCAAACCTTGCTTTGTTAACCTTCCTTTTAAACAAGTACTCAAACTTTCTTTCTCCTTGCATACTGAGATGGAAATCTATTTAAAATATATATAGCAGGCTCTAAGATTTTCTCTGTGTCCCCTGAGGCTAACAGTCAAATTAGGTGAAACAATGAGACTTCCACAAGAAGGGACAGCATTGTGCTGTGCTTTCATGTTGAGGATCCTGCAGACGCGCTCCTTCCTAGCAGAGCCGAAACCTTGCAACGTTCTAGTCCAAAGAAGGTGATTCAGTTTCCTGCTTCTTCCTCACGTAGAGAGGTCCAATTTCCTGTTGTTTTCCATGGATACAAACCCCTCTCCTTTTATGGGAGATTCTCCCATTTCTTACACACACTACTTTCCTGTTTGTTACTTGCAATAACCGCACTAATTTGGAGTGGAGGCCAGCAGCACACAGCTGTCAACTCATCAGGCTCTGTTATACCTCAAGTAATTTAATATAGGAGTTTCATATCTAGCAAGAGATTTTAAATGGAGCTACGTTTCTTTTCAGCAACTTTTTTTCTCTGGGAGGACCTGCTGCAGTTTTCTCAAGGTCTGTATCTGACAGAGGAAATGAGTCTTTTCTCAAAAGTACACAACTCCTTATATGTGGTTAGTGCAACACTCATGTAAGGCTTCCTTGAAGAGATCTGCGGCTGCCTGCTTTTGTTGTTCCTTCAGTAGCCAAGTCTCCTTAACTTTTCATTTGAATAAAAATATCAGAGGAAGACTGTAGCTTTTTCTTGTCCTTGTCAACAGCAAAATATTACCATTTTAGAAACCTGATTTTTTTATAAACCCTTTGAACAAGTAACACAGGTTTAGGAGGTGTTCTTACTAATTAAGGACAGCGTGTACAATAGAAACTCATGTAAAATACATTCTTGGAGAGTTTACAAATTGAAGCTGGTAATGAAAATCAGGCATGGTCTGATTTTGAAAGAGACATTTGTTCAGATTATGGGAACCAGAACCAGGAAACCCTGTGCCTCATACCAGCCGCAGTGTTGGCTCCTCTTGTGACTTTGGGCAAGTCAGTCATTGTACCTTTATACATTATTACACAGTGCCCACATTGTGGCATTTGACCTTCTAAAGTCCTTCTCTGTAAAACCAGGATAACACCTGTCAAAGAGAAGCTTTCAGGATTCATTTTTTATTGTTTTACAGAGTGCTTCAAAGAAGAAATATGTATGTGTTAATCACTGCTACCATTTTGATTAGATAAGTGTAGTCGACTTGGCATAGCACTTACAGATGAATCAGGGACAAACCAGTAACCAAATATTTAGAGCTAGATATGGTTACCCTGATAGAGTTTAATATTACACAGCTCTTCTGGGTCTCCACAGAAGGGTCACAAAAAAGCTATTTTGAAGGGAGGCACCACAAAACCTTTCCAGTTGCATCAGCCCCTGGCAGTCTCTGGGGATGCTGCTCCCGGGCACATCCTGAGCGAGGTGGGAAGGGAGGCACAGCCTCACTGGGACTGTTCATGTGAGAGTTGGAGCAGAATTGACTTCTCAGTAATGAGCTTTATGCTCATGGTAGCGGATAATGAAGATTTTTCTTATGAGTGTCTAAAGCTGTTTCATTGGGAGGTCACAGAGAGCAAATCCGCTGATAAATGGAAAGGTGATAAAAATCTATAAGGATGGAAAGATGTGCCTAATTATCTGTCTGCATGACCCCCGTCACTGAGATGCTTGGAAGTCTAATGAACTACTAATGACTTGCTAGCACTCCTGCAAGACAGCATGGCTGTGCACAGGTAGCTGAGGCACTGACACATTGCATACCCAGAGCTTCACTGTAGATAAGGGATCTACATATTTTTAAAAAGGTTCCCCATAATGTTTTCCTCAAGGTCATGTAGATAATCTCTGGCAAACTGGGAAACAGCAGCACACTCCAGGGAAAAGACCCAAACCACTCAAATTCTGGTGCGTACAACAGATGGGGCAGCACCTTGCACCCTTTTCACCTGCTCTAGGCTTTGGATAAACAATTTCTGTGGCCCATCACTACTGAGACAATAGCTATCTTTTGGATTTGGGATATTGTTAACCTGATCATGCTGATTAAACCTATGATACCTTATTCCTCTTTTTTTAACAACTGATAGTAACTAAACAGTTCAATAGCCTATTTCTTGGCCAAAGTGAGGTAAAAGAGAAAAGACTTACAACAGGCTTGTTTCCCTCCTTCAGTGTAATCCAGTCCTCTCCATTGGAGCTGACATCTACGCGGTATGTTTTCAGATAATATTCTTTCTTTGTTTCTTTCGAGATGGCTCCTTGGGTCCCAATTCCAGAAACAAAGCGGAGAAGGCCTAGATCTACCTGTCGTAAGGAATGAGAATGTGAGGACAACCCGTTCAGACATAACAGCAATGCAGAAGTGACACCCCCCCACCCATGTTTTACAGAGATAATAAGGATTTTATATAAAGGAAATTGCAGCATATTGTTGATAATAACATAGCCATAATCTCCTCTTTTGTAAACAGTGTCATCACAGGAGATGGGAACATTTGCCTAATTAGCCAGGAGAGCTATTCAAATGCCAGAGAATTATCTTTCCTCTATAGGGGAGGAACCAGAGACCCCATGAGTGCGAGTGGGAACCACTGGACTGCAGAGAAGTTACTAGAGAAGTTCCTCAAGGACCAGTCTGGTGAACAATCTTACTTAACACTTTCATTAACTACCTTGCATAGATGCTAATGAAATTCACTGAGAAAAGCTGCAAGGCATTGTCAAGACAGAGAGCACTGAATGACCCTGAGGACCCCTTAGAAATGGGATGAAATTTAATAGTACAGTATCAAAGTCATGCACTTAGGGAATAACAACAAGAATTCTGCTAAAATGCAGGAGCTCATCACTTGCAAACAGAAGAGGAGAAAAGAATCCCGTGGTGTATTAGTCACAAGATGATTAAGAATCACTGTGTGATTTTGTTGGGAAAAAAGGCAAATGAGTTGCTTGTACTGTATGATGTATTTGAAGAAAACAGAAAGAAGCATTAATACAAGTGCAATAATTCTGTTCCAACTGTCAAATGTAGTGAACTTTAATCATTAGAAAATAATGGCATTTTGAACTTGCTGGAGAAATGAACGCTACGATGTGCACATGAATGCATGTGCCTTCTCTCTTCTTCACTCATTCTCTGTCTTTCTCCTTTGCTCATGAAGTTACATTGCAACCAAATGAACACGGGATTTAGGTTAACCTTCCCCTCCCCCAGTTATTTATCTGTCATCCAGATCTGTTTCCTGATCTCGTTCATCATGTGGCATCACAGAAGTTGTACCGGCACAGTTGAGGGGATGATGTGGGGTGCAGGAGTGCGGCTACCCAAGTCAGTTCTGCTAGCAAAAGAAACCTTTGTCCCAGTGCACAAGTCCAGCTGCCAAATGGCTGAAACTAGGCACAAAACTCTCTCGCAGCCAGGTTGATGACCACAGCTTTGAAACACCTGCCTTTCTTTAGCCATAATGACAAACCAATCAAAATCAAATTCATCACCCTCTTTCTCCACAGCTAGAACCTCCTCTTTGTTTCCTAAAGCAAACCGTTTAATTTCAATATAAAATGACACTATTCACAAAATATTACAGTAATTTATTCCTCTAAACTTCAGTTGTCCAGACTTTAGTAGGATAATAATAGGTTGAATTAACCCTTCTCAAGCAAATGTCCCATGAATGTCTCAGGCTTTTTCATTATTTCCAAAGTATGCAGGATACAGAATATACGTCCCCTGTGTCCCAGAGGCATCCTTTTTCCTGGATGTATGTCATATATCCAAAGGCGCTGGAGCGGATAAATCAACATGCCCTGCATTCTCCCTCAAAAGGCTGAAGAAAGTGCTATTGAGGACAGACTGGCTGTGCTCTCAATGCCCATGTCATATACAAGGCATTTTGAAGTCTTCCAACACAAGAATAGCAGCCTTGTGTATGACAGATAGAACTAGCTTTCAGGGCAAAGCCCGGGCCCCTGCCCCAGTTTTTAAGGCTGGTAAAGTCTGTATGTAACATTGTCTTTAGGGGTGAAATACTGCTACATTTTGTTTTGTCGTGATAAAAAAATTCAGTCTTAAAAAAAATAAAAAACCCCAGCACCACCTTACTAAAACAATCAAGTGATTTAAAGTAACTGGAGAGTCTCAGATGTTAGATTGTTGCAATCTGAAAGTTAATGGGGGAATCTGGGCATCATTGCACTGAGCAATCTCAGCTTAACTTCAAATGCTCTCCAAACTGTACTCTGCTGATTGTAAAGTGTGCTGCACCCAGTTATGTCCAATACCACATTCACTTCCAGGCTGAAGTGCACTTGAAAATCTGGAAGTCTGAGGGAGTGCAGAGCTAAGTTATTTAAATGATCTGCTTCTCTTACAATTTGAAACAGCTCTTCAGTTTTGAAATGATTAGGGTCCCAAGCCTGTACTGTTCCAACTGATTTGAAATTATTCTAGTAGGGGCTTTTTAATATACAGTAAGTACTTCATTGTGAATGAAGTCAAGCAATGGCCTATTACAAGAGTTCTAGGCATTTGAAGCCAAGTTAAAATTTAACATTGGGGGTTTATGGGAAGGTTTGATTAGCTGATGCCTGAGCTAACAATTACATCTACTTGTCACTGATCGCTCAGGCAACTCAGGCTTGTCCCATCAGAGAGCTTCAGGTGCCCAAATTTTGCTCAGTCCCAAATGCTGGTATTCAATATACCCCCTTAACTCTCGTGGCACTGAATATCCTACAGCACCTAGCCCACTGCCCAGAACTGAGTCCTAAACATGCAAAGGATTTAGACATCTACCTTCATGGCTAAAACCTGGCAGAATTCAAAAGGTAGGCAGAAATTCTCCTGCCAGAAGTTAACAGCTCACCGGGCAAGAGTGAGACTGAGAAGACCTCTAATTTATTGCCTATAGGTAGGGAAGAGGCAACCGCATTAGCACTCCTGGCTCCAGTAACTGTGTAATACAGTACAGGAGGAGGCGGGCACCTCTTGTCATTAGGGAGAACATCTCACATAGATGTGCTCTCTCCGGATGAGCAAATCTTTACGTGCTTCTTGAAAACTGGAACTATGTCAACAGCAGTCCTCTCCTGGAGCGCCTGGAGGCTGATGGCTCGAGTGTTCAGCTGCGTGCTACAGCTTTAAACCCCTTGCAAAAGCAAGCTGTAACCCCAGACCTGCCACATGCCAGAGGGTGTTTGCTCAGAAGTTGATAGAGGAAAAAAGAATAAACTTTCTCCATCAGTGTTTTGTGAGAAAGGAGCAGTGCAAAGAAGAAAGGTGGGGCTAAGCAGCAGAGAAGCAGAAGGGTTAGAGATTTTAAGTGCTAACTCTGACTCAGTGCAGTGGTCCAGGAGAGAGGTAGAGCTTAAGGCAATTTCCTCCCTTTGACAGTTCTTTGCAGTGGCCTCGGAGGAATTGCTCCTCTCCAGGTGCATACAAACAGAATTGCAACACTGAGCACCCCTCTGTGGTGCCTAAGTATGTTTGTAAATCAAGCTCTAAATGTACCAATCTTCTTCTCTAAGTAAGGTGATAGAATAAATAATGTAGAAGACTACCTTGGAAACTGCATGACACATCTTAAGGAGCTGTTAAGCTCACCTTCATTAATCACTTTGTGATGTATTTTGTTTTCTTTCCAATGTCTTTTGAAACTTTGCTTTCTGTAAAATGCAAAATTATGCATAAAATACACCTTCTAAATGTCACAGGGACTGCTCAGAGTTGAAGTTCAACCATATCAACTGCTATTAACAACTGGAACCTGAAAGTACCAAAATGTAGCTGTGGTAAGACACAGCTCTTCTGTACCATGTTATCCAGGGGAATCATTGCAGAGGGCAGCAGCTCTAGTACAGATGTGTCACCAAACAGATAGGAATTCTCATGCTTTTTGGAGGCTTATGCCTAGAGAGTCCAACTGTCTGTGTAATTTCCAGTCAGCTTAGGATGTCCTCTCCGCAGAGGTCTCCAAGTGTTAACATGACCAGAGGCAATCCATTTTTCTCAGATCCAGTCTCCTCCAGCTGAGATAGTAATACAAATCTTTTAACAACTAGCTTTTTGTTTTGGGCTTCTTGTCCTTTTTTGTTTCAAGAACTTGTGTTTCACGTTAAAATGAACTGTGGAGAGAGGTGGTGATGAAATACAGTACTTTTGAAGATGAACATCAAATGCATTTCCCTGCAATTATTTGACATTTAACTTTCTGCACATATGATAAACAAACATCTGGTATTTATTTTAGAGGATGCAAGCGATTTTGTAAGTTATTGCATGCTGTATGGCTGTGATCTGAGACAGGCGGCTGTCTCTAAACCTGAAATCATGACATTTCATTTCCACGACCAGAGTTTTAGCTTTGACTAACTGCAGTATGTTGTTAGTTCTTTTTTTCAAATTTTGCTCACTTTCATTCAGATTAAAAAGCATCTCTCTCCTGGAAAATGATGCCTTAGGGCCTCATCCAACAAACACAGCCTTTGATAATTGCCTATGCTGCAATGTGACTGCCTTTATTGGTAAGTATAAGACTAGAGGCAGACTTGCCTATAGCAATGGGCCTCTAACTTACAATAAATGAGGAACATCTCAAGTGTGTATTTTTTTCCAGGAGAGAAATGCTCATATTCAAAAAGCACCAATTGTTCCTACTTCTAAAATAAATTTATTTCCTGTGAAAGCGTATTGGAAGACGCTAGCTGTTTCTACATATGAATTACTTTCTCTCTATTTATTCTGCAATATCTTTTAGCATCCAGGAAAAATATTTTCATTGCTGTCTTACTGTCTCCAAAAAATGTGGGTGGGTGACACATTTTTAAGACATAGATATGCAAGGAGTGGCATACACATTTTATTAGATACCAGTTAAGGAGAAGGAAAAAGAATAACATTTTGCTCTGCACAATGTATCATGTAGCAAATCTTAGCAAACTGCTGGATAAAGAACAATACACAACATGCACAACTTGAAATGAATATTGCTGCTTCCTGTCACCATACATAACCATGTCATAGTATGGAAGACCTTATTTTCAGAATGAAAATCTGCGTAGCTAAATAAAATACAGTCATTGAGGGAGCTGTATCAAGGGAGCAGTTTTACCAGCTTTTAACACTCCTACTGTAGGTCTGTTCAACAGCCTGAGAAAATAAAGGACAAAGTGCTGGAGTTTGATTAACAACAGGAAGCTTTTTGTTGTGGGCATCTCTTGTGGCTTGAAAAGCTGTATAATCCATCACTTGACACAACATACCAAAGTAAATATTTTTAGAGAACTGTGTCATTTCCCTAGATAGC